AATTATAGTATTGGAACCTTGTGATAAAATTAATCACAAATAATCATAGGTCTAGCTCAATACTTTATACTTAGTAATTAAGAGGATTTTTTTTCTTTTGCAAATAAAATGTCTTTTTTAAAAAGATTATTTATTTATTTGAAAGGCAGTGTTCAGTGAGAGGGGTAGAGATGGGGAGAGAGATCGTCATCCATTAGTTCACTTCCCAAATGGCTACAACTTTTGAGCCAGGCCAAAGACAGGAACTTCATCTGTGTTTCCCACATGGGTGGCAGGGAGCTGCTGTTTTCTTAGGCACATTAGCAGGTAGATGGATTGGAAATAGAGCAGCCAGGATCCAAATCAGCACCCATACATGCTGCTGGCATCACAGGCAGCAGCTTAACCTGCTTTGCCACAAGGCAAACCCTGAGAAAATCTCTTGGTCTTTTCCAATTCTAAATTCTCTGAAGTCTCCTGGCTCAAATGTATTATGAGTCACCCATATTTTCATAAAGACAAACTAGATTTCTGTCTTTGTTTCCTAAATGTTCAAATAAGAGAACATAGCAATGGATTGCAATTTCCTAGCCTAGCAAACCTAGCAACATCTAGCAAACCTTGCCAACCACCATGGGCACCAACTAACTCTGGAGGCTGATTTAATGTACTGCCTGTAGAGATCCATTAACTAGTTGGTAACTCCTAACCTAGATTATCCATCCTTAAAGTTGACATAATACAACAGTCCTGTTGATTGATGGGTTTTCTGAGTTACCCTCTCAGATCCCCCCATGAAAGCACATGCATGAATTTATACTTAAGCCTTCTGGGTATGCATTTCAGATTTGCCTTTAGTGTTCATCTAATGATTCTCTGAGACAAAGATCATGAACCTTAGCATGAACTGACTGGTGTCATGGCAACTAGCACTTCACCTTTTGCTGGTCCCCACCTCATACATGCTACAATATTTGTGCACATTAATAATTCATTGCAACGTGCCAGATTTCTTTGTGCTGTCAAGCTATGTCAAGGACAGAATATGCTGTGCTATCTCAGATGTCATCTACCAGACTGTTGAGGGCAAGACTAATTAGAAAGGAAAACTAGTCAGGTTACTTTGGAAAATCCCTGAAAATGTGATGCTTTCTAGTTACCCGTTTATAGCATTTTTTCTTGCAAAGTTAGGAACAGAATTAGTGTTGATCAAAGTTTGTTTAATAATGCACTGTAGACCTCAGGCAGGCGTTTGCTTGTGAAAATGTCATATGAGCAGTCATTGCTTGCGTCCATTCAGGCAGCAAAGAAAATGATTAACAGCCTTAGTCATATGCACAAGGCTCCTACGGGAACCCTGAGCACAGGCTGCAGAGAGACCTCTGTGGTGCTCAGGCAGATGCGCTCATCCCAGGCTTGCCTTTGCCCCCAGACAGAATTGGGGCCCAGGACGTGTTTGAAGTGAGCCTTGGAAAACAAGCAGTCTGGGTTCAAAGACTGATAGGTACACCTTACAGTACCTTCAACAATTTGTGTGTTGTTGACATCATCATCATAATTGCAGCATTAACCTTTCCAAATAAAGAATATGGGCCTTTGTCTTGATGTAGAACATGCACAGCCACATTGGCTTGCATTTGTACAGAAAGCCACATGTGTCCCTGATTAGGCACACAAATGACACAGTCTTAAAGTGAACACTGATCCACCATTACTTTAGAAAGAAACTGAAACAAAAACCTCCTCTCAAAAGAAACCAACCGACCAACCTGTGTCACACTTTACTAGCTACTTCAAGTTGAAACATATTTCCCTGAAAAATATGTGTATAAACTGCAATTAGAAAAGACTTTAGTCCCATAGCCATATTTGGGTTTTTCTTTTTTCACCCCATTTTCTCTCTTCCTTTGAATATAAAACTGGTAGTTTAACTGCCCTCTAAACAACCTTTGGAGGCAGGGACACAGGGAAAAGCAGCCCCAAATCACATTTTGGAATCGCAACTACAGTACCCTGCTTATGTGACAGATGCATTGGAACTGCCATACATTTGATGCACGGGCTTGACCCAGTTAGCTCCAGGTGAGTGTGAAAGCTGTTCAGAGACAGGAATGGGACCAGCTCCTGTGGTACTCTTTATGCACCGGCAACCTGGATGTAATGGATGTTCAAGAATTATTTGTTGAATGGATAAGGGGAGGAGAATGGGGACATTAATCAGTTTCAAAAATTGCAACAATTTAACTTAAAAACATTTACAGACTTGTTAATCTATCACCTACCTTTATATGGTGCCAGGGATTTAGGTTAGTTATTTAATACCTGTTGGTCGGTGGGTGGAGACCAAAGTGCCTGAATACTGAGAAATCCACTGAGCTGCAACCCAGTGGGATGTCTGTGTTTCTGGTCAGAGCCAGCCACCACCTAGAATTAGAGCAGACACTGGCCACAGAAACAAGCACGGGTCAGAGATGCAGATTTGTCAGGAGGCCAATTAGCAAACTCTTGCTAGTATTTTAGGTTGTACACAGTTTCTTAGAGTTTCATCTTGAGTCCTTGTACTTACCTATATTGAGAACTTTTATGATAAATAGGATCCTTCATGTTGAGTTTACTCTCATCGTCCAAGACTCGGTGAGCTTTTTTTTTTTTTTTTTTTAAGATTCATTTATTTATTTGAAATGCAGAGTTACAGAGAGGCAGGGGCAGAGAGAGAGAGAGGTCTTTGATCTGCTGGTTCACTCCCCAATTGACTGCAACGGCTGAAGCTGTGCCAATTTGAAACCAGGAACCAGGAGCTTCATCCAGGTCTCCTATGCAGGTGCAGGGGCCCAAGGACTTGGGCCATCTTCTGCTGCTTTCCCAGGCCATAGCAGAGAGCTGGATTGGAAGTGGAGCAGCTGGAACTCAACCAGAGCCCATATGGAATGCTGGCACTGCAGGTGGTGGCTTTACCCGCTACGTCCAGTACCGGCCCCAGCTTACAATATTTTAACTTAAATCAACTGTAAGTTGAAGAGCATCTGTACTTAGAAATGAACTCTGGTTAGCATCAAGTATAAATATTACAGATGTTAGCTAATCTGGAAATAATTAGACTTGATTACTTAAGGATACATTTTCTGGTTTAGTTTGGAATATATAAGCTTTTTTGTGGTATTAACTTTACTTCACTTCTGTGATTTAATGTAAGTTATGGAACCTAAAGTTGAATCTATAATGAACTCAAGTACCATTTCTTTCTGGTACTTTCTGAGTATCAGGTAGACCAAGATAATAGCTTCTCACAGTTACGCTAACCACCCCTGTTTACTCTTACAAAGAAATAAAATCAAGCGGACATGAGTGCCTCTCTTACGTCAGCATTGTGCCAAGACCGTGCAGCAATGGGAAGTGTGTTTACTTGCTTTCCTCCTCAGTGCCTACCTCAGTACTTGGAAGACTGATCTGTGTCTTCCAGCTTTAGCTGTAAGACGGCCAAAATCAAAGCATCATAAAACATAGTTACATGATATAGACAAGGTCAGATTGGTCCAGAATAATATTAGGTAAAGGCTTAATTCTCAAAGAATTATTGGGAGACTAGTGATTATAATTACTATAAAACACTTGAAAAGTTTTTATTAAACATTATTAATACATGATTAATATTGCACTTTGATTTGAGAAGTGCTGGAGGTTGGACTGTCAGAGTTCCTGGGTAAAAATGCACAGGTGGGAATAAGCATGATATGAGCTACCGATAAGAGACTCAGACAGGGTATGAGTTAGGGGTAGGGGGCCATGTGAGGACCTAGGAGACAGGCCAGGAAAAATGTGAGGCACTTCCCAGAGACTCATCAGGCAACTCTGCATCCTGGACCGGAGCAGGGAGAAACTTCAAAATTAATAGAATCCCTGTTTCTGGTCTTGTATGTGTAGAAGTCATCGTAACAAATTGGATATTCATGCAAAAACTCAGGGATGCCTTTATAAAGCCCGGAAATCCTCTGGGAAGGGAACGCAACTCTTTTTTATGTCTGCTGTGTCGTGTTTTGTTTTCTTTTTTAACTTCATAAATCATGGGAAGCTGTGTTGGCAGCAGGCTATAACTCAGCTGTAGACAGATTGCTCTTTGCTGCTTTCTTTTAAGAAGCAGGTTATAAAACTGTTGGGAGCCTGGTAGAGTAGTTAATAGATCATCTTAAGCAATTTGAAGTAATTTTTTTATACAGTCTTGCATTTTGAAGGCAGGATAGCTAGAGGGGGGAAAGGGAGTTTAGTGAATAAAATAATCATTGTTGCCTCTGAGTTCACCACCTAGAACTTACTTCTACATGTTCTGTACTCCAAGTGGCTGGTCACCTGCCTCTGTGGGAGACTCTGCGATGAGCCCCACAGTGGAGCGGGAGCCTGCAGAATGCTACAAGCTCTTGTCAGTGCAGAATTGGCATTGTGACACATGTTTCATTAACATAGCTCTGTACTTTTGCTGTTTCTTGGCATCTTAAAATACTTCACTTCCTGCTAATGCACTTTGGCAGTAAGCCTTTGGATGCTGGAGCATGATGCTGGACTATCCCTTCATTCATGGGCCTGTTACCATTTAGACATTACCAGAGGTAACGTTAATGCCAGGCACCTGTTCCTGGGCAGGCAGGAGGTCTCTCACAGACAAGGAGATCGCCACACCGAAGTCACCAGCGTGTGAATAGATCTGACCTGGGAGTAGTTTAGATTAGCAGATAACTCACGTGAAAGGTCTGCTTTTCATCTCTGGACTTTGTCTCCAAAAACTTGTATTATAGTCTTGTTGGTCAAGGCTTACAATAGGCCTGACATGCCAAAGATATGGTGCTAAGCTAATCAGCTACTTAAAAAGAATCTTCTCTTTTGGGTTAATGTAATATATTTTTAAACAAATTGGGAAACATAACATTGTGTGGGTAATAAAAGTCAATTTTATGATCTTGGACTGAGTTTTAAATGAAACCCATGCTATTGCTTCTAAAGTTTAAACTCTTTTTTTTAATTTTTTTCAGACCACTAAAGCCTTTCTTCCTACAATGCTGGAGATTAATCATGGTCATATTGTGACAGTTGCAAGTTCCTTGGGATTATTCAGTACTGCTGGAGTTGAGGTTTGTCAGATCGAAAGCATTTCCTTCATTCAGGCGGTTTATCTTGTGATGAATACACAGGCATCCTAAGGAGTGTACCTGCTGCCTATGCATTCCTAAGAGCACTCTGCCTGTGTGTAGGATGCTCCCCAGTAACCCAGGGCCAGCTGTTGAAATGGAATTTCACCTTTCCTGCCATAAAAGCATTTAAACTAGTTTAACAAAGCAGCAATAGCAGGAGAAGTAGATGGCACAGTCCTCAGTAAGCCCCATTTTCACTAGCAGCTCCGTCTGGTGACAGTAGGAGGCACAGGGTCAAGAATAGGACCAGGGAGGGCCATGGCAGTGCTGTGGGGAGCAGATAAATGAGGCCAAAGGTTCACATTCTGTTTTGGTCAACTTGCCAAGAGTGAGCTATCTCCTATTAGCTCATCAGATGAGGTAGTTATAGCCCATGTCAGGTGTCCTGCAGTGGAGGATTGTAGAACTGGATTTCATCAATCCCTATTCTTCAACATTTTTGGATTATATAGCGTGTGTGCAGGATATGTTCTGTGCTGTTTGTCCTATGGGTGTCTGTAAAATGGAAAACATCACTCCTTGCAAGTATGCATGGGGACGTGGGATAGATAGCTTCTACACCCAGAGGATTTGTATTTCCATTCTCAATCTGAAAACAGGTCATGGACAAGAGCTTTCTGTTTGGTTAAGTTCTAGTTTAAGTTTGCAAGGTGTAGTTACATTTGATTTCACCCTAAAAAAGAAAGACCATAAATTATAAGTAAACTAGACTTGCCTTTGTTCTTCTTGCATTAATTTAGCCAAACTGGTTTTGCAGTCTCCTCTGCTGAACAAGAGACCATTTGTAAATTTTCCAGACACTTCAAAGTGAACCTCTCTCCGTTTTTAACTTCAGCTTGTTAGCTCTCACAGAATCCTTTGTGTTGACCTCCCAGAGTAATACGATACTCAGTTGATGTGGCAAAAAGTGTTCATCTGTTTCTGCTGTTGCTCTGAAAATATTATTTCTGCACTGAACCACATCAGATACCTGTCCTTTAAAATGGTTTCCCTTTCTCTCCTTAGTCACCTGTAACCTTTTGTTTCAAACATCTCACCATAGTAGTAACGGGACCAGGGAAGCTGCAAGTTGGTCGCTGGCGGTGCGTCTCTTAGTATTTCTATTCTCTGTCCTCCAACCAGGATTATTGTGCCAGTAAATTTGGAGTTGTGGGTTTTCATGAATCCCTGAGCCACGAACTAAAGGCTGCTGAAAAGGATGGAATTAAAACCACCTTGGTTTGCCCTTACCTTGTAGACACTGGCATGTTCAGAGGCTGCCGAATCAGGTCAGTGTGAACCTATCTTATTACTGATAAAAAAAAGAATAATACTAGGAGAATATGTGGAATTGGATCTTCAAACATAGTCAGCCTTGTCATTTGTCCATTAGCCTTTAGTTTTCACTGGTCAGGGTGGGGAAGGTTTGTCTAATGGGTGTATGAGATTGACAAGTGTGGCACTGCTGCCACACTGATACTATCTTGCAGAAATTAGTCGACTCATGAGACAGGAAGTGTCTTCTCTACTCCTTGAAGGAGAAAACAAATACCTAGGGGGCCTTAGAAACTATATCTTTAGGAGCTTATTTTGTTGATTTAGTACGAGTGTTGGTAAACAAAGGCTCCAGAAGAAAATTCGTTGGTGTGGCTTTGGTTTGGATATGCAATAGTGTCACCGTCAGAACTAACATGCCTTTTTTGCAAAAAGACCTTCAAATATTACACTCCAGATTTGGAGACATCCTTTTAGTGAAAAGTGTAGATTCCCTCTGACAGAGTGAAGAAACCGTTAAGATTTAGCGAAAATGAAATAAAATATTCACATGCTTAGAAAGGAGAGGGGAACTATAAATGTCAAGTTACAACTGACTGGAGCTCAGCAGAATAAACAAAACCATGAATCATTAAGAGGACACTTGTGAAGACATGCTTACTTTGAGATCTTTGCATGGGTGAATTTGAAAGGCAAAAGCAGATGACCAAACCAGTTCCCTGTTGGTCAGGAGCCATTCTTAACACGCACTGAGCTGAACAGGCAGCCGAGGAGGAGGAGGAAGGTGATTTGAGTCACTCTGTCTGAGGCTGGCCTCAAGTCTGAACTGCAAGATGAACTCCAGCTCTGCTTCCCATCGGCACAGGTGCATGCATGTGCTGGTTTGGTTTTCCCCCCTTGTGTCCCTGAGCACCAGTTGCTGAGGGACTTGAGGAGCTCTGTGTCCTATTTAGCTTAGCAACAGGTGCAGGCGTCCAGAGCTTTGGTGTGGGACAAGGAAGGGTAAAAGGAACGTATTGCGTTATTGCATCATTTTCGACATGTAACTTCAGTGAATGAAACTGAAGGTAGGATGTCTATATGTTCTTCATGTAGAGAATTTATCTCAGCATCCCCTAGTCACGCATCTTGGAAAGTGTACAGCTGACTTCCTCAAAGAGGCTGTGCCAGTATTTATGTACCCATTTTAACCACACCTCACACTGAAAGCTTAGCATCCAGTCTGGGTTTAGCGTTGGCTGTGCCAAACACCCTCTCTTTTTTATACTGAAAGCAAAAAATAGAAAAATAATATGAAATATGTTTTAAGAACATGACTTTCTTGACTCTGTGGGAAAGTAGGGAAGTTTTGCTTTTTCTTTCCTAACTTATTTTCCAGACTGCACAAATAGATTGTGTTCTTAGTAGGAGAATATGGAAAAACAAGACTATGAAGAAAATAAGGTGCACCCCAAATCTCACTGGCTCAGTTGATAGTGCAGTCAATGTTTTGATGTGTATTTCCAGTGTCTTCCCTGTTATGTTAATTCTTCATTTCATTTTTGCATCTGGAACTTTCAGGAAAGAAATAGAGCCTTTTCTGCCCCCTCTGAAGCCCGACTACTGTGTGAAGCAGGCCATGAAGGCCATTCTCACAGACCAGCCCATGATCTGCACCCCCCGCCTCATGTACATCGTGACCTTCATGAAGAGGTAAACGTGACAGTTCCCTCGTGGATCAGGTCTTTCCCTACCTGCCCCAGTAATCTTAAGCAACGCAGGACGACAAGTTTACTAACAAAGGTGCCTTTCCTTTCCAGCATCCTTCCTTTTGAAGCAGTTGTGTGCATGTATCGGTTCCTAGGAGCGGACAAGTGTATGTACCCTTTTATTGCTCAAAGAAAACAAGCCACAAACAATAATGAAGCAAAAAATGGAATCTAAGAATCTTTTTGTATGGAATATCATTTCTATTAGAAGACGATCAAGATGTTTCAGTCCAGTGCACATCAGCATTACTGACATTCTCTGGATTCTAATCCTGTGTTGACTTTTTTTTTAATCAACTTTTTAAAAAAAATAAAGTGTAAATTAACTGACTAGAGTACTCGGAAAATGTGATCAGTAAAAGTGAGCTTAGGTTATTGCCAGTTAGGGTCCTTTAAGACAGAACCCTAAAACGAGTCCAATCTTTACACAAGCGCTGTGTGACATCTTTGGACTATCATTCTTTTTTAATGAACAGAAATTCTAGAAGTGATAACTACAGTGTGTTTCACTTGAGTGATTTTTTAAATTTCCGTAGAGTCTCTTCATTTTTGTTAAACTCTCGCCAGCTGACATCCTTGGGACTTCAAGGACTGGTAGTGCTGTACTTTCTTCTGTTTTCTAAGTTTCAGTTTTGCAAAGCCTATGTGGCTTTTCCCGGTGTTTGTGTGTTCAGCTGTTTTAAAAAGGAGTTCTGAAATCTCCATCCATTCGGAGTAAATGGTGTCCGAGGGTTACAGTGAAGGTAATCATGTCTCTCTCTTAAAAGTCAGAGTGACTGAAGCATTAGCTACATTTTAAATTTTCTCTCCGAGATGCTTCATGAAGTATCTGGAGACCTAGGTATCCGCAAAGATCATACGTTTTCTACCTATGAATTTTGCTGCATACAGAAAGTGCCCTTTCCTCAGGAAGCTGGCTGTGTTTCCTTTCTTCGAATGGACTCTTACCTAGAATACATAGCAGCTCTGCAGAGAAACGGTTTCTAAAAGTGGGAACTTTGACGGTGAAAAGTCCCCATTTCTGTGCCAACTATGATCAGCGAGGGGAAAGTCTCATCCTGTGGAGTATGTATGGAAGGGTGTAAAGATTCTTTTGAAAGGTTTATTCACATTGTAGAACAGCAAATGACATTTTTACAGTATTTTTTTGTAAAGCAAACTATTTTGTGCCTTGAATTTGGTATATGTGTATTAGTGAAACATTGTAAAAGTGAACTTCTACCTCTGTATCTAAATGTATACCATCCACCTGTAAATTACTATAAACTATTATGTGATTGCTTTTTTTTTTTTTAGAATGTCTTGTTTAAATAGTGACCAATGTTTAAGGCTATTAAAATAAGCCAACTTTTACTAATTGGGAAGTTTTATAAAGGACTGATTAAATTTAAAGAATTAACTTACAAGCCACTGACTGAGTGATTATTAGCAACGTTATATGGAAAATCATTGTGCTGTCTTTTCTGTGCCCTCTCCTGCCTTGTGTAAAGGAAAAAAAGTTTAACTAGGACAGACGTTAACAATGTAGGGTGCCATGCACTCAAATTTCCGACGTGACACCCACCTGCATGAGAGGCTTTATCCAGGGCTTGCTTATGCCGAGAGCAGGAAAGCAGGAAGACTCCACTACCTGTGCCTTCAGCTGGCTACACCACAGATCACATCTGCATTGCGTCCACACACAGGAAGGTGCCGGCTCACTGCTCACACTCATCTTAAGGACCAGTTATTAATGATAACCCAGCCTTGAGGCTGTGGTGCCGATTGAGGCATTGCCTGCCTCTTAAGTTTCAATCATAGATGTAAGTAAGTACTTTGAAGTAGTCTTCCAACAATGTGGGGTGGGAACAGACATTCGCAGAGGTTACCCAGGTCTGCCTCCCAGCTGGCCTGGAGCACATGCAAACCATCCTAGAGAAATTGGTCTAATTTAACAACCCATTTCTCAACACAAAACTCTTTCATTTTATTCTCTTGCATTGTCATTTCTACTTCTACATTTTTGTCACTACCCTTATAAGGTTATCCATCTCCAAGTTCAATAAGCCTAATTCATTTAACTTTTTTCGTTGCCACATTCTGGCTCAGTTTAATTACTTCTGTGGCTTTCTCTTGTATGTGGTCTAAATTGTCTTTTCCATCCAGAGCTGTGGAGTTTGGGAGGGGATACAGTTGATGCCAGTTTAGAATTATGGGATTTCTATTACAGTGTCATGTCCCTAGTGGAGTGCTGCCATGCTCTGGGGTGTGTGTGTTGTTGTTGTTGTTGTTGTTCCTGCATGAAATCTTCCAGTCCAGCCTGCACACTTACGTTGAGAAACTCGTAATTGCCAAGGTTACTTTTCTGGCTGGTTATTCGTCTACACACACACCCCACCCCCACCTCAACATGAATGCTGACTTTAAATCTGTTCTCTTTTCTGTCATCTGGCCGTTCATGTGAGTGTTCAGGGCCACTGGGCTCAAGGCTGACCCCCTCGGGAGCACGGTTGCTATCCCCCTCCCTCCCCTACCACTACAGGCTCTGTCCTTCTCTCTAACCTTTCAATTAGTTTAATGATAATCATATTGAGTGGAACCCAGGAATCAAAAGTTTTCGAAGCCAGCAAAGATAAGTTCCAACTATTGTTTTCCCCCTTGATCTACCAGGTCTGCCGCTGTCACAAAAGATTAGATTAGCCTGACAGGACTGAGCCACATAAAGCCAGGCTGCTTTTTTGTGTTGTGTGTGTGTGTGTGTGTGTATGTGTGTGTGTTGAGTATCCTATTTCCTTGAAAGGCTATAGCTTTCAATCTTTTTTTCCCAAGTTAAATGTCTTTTTCAAAGTTTTCTTTTCCAGCTGGCAGAAATACTTCTAAATTGATGTTGACCTGAATCTTGGAAATTTGCTTTGTCCTCCAACAAAAAATAAAATCAGCAGGATTTGGGGAGGAGGGTAGTTCTTTCCATGCCAAATGTATTGCTTGTGTCTGATTAAAAAAAAAGGAGTGGGGAAATGAAGGCTGTAATGGGCCAGAAATGGCTGGGACACCGGTCCAGGGAGCACATAGTCGGCATTCATGCACGTGGGTATTGGCCGGACCCAAGGGCCTATACCAGGGACTCACAAGGATGTGGGTGCACATACCACAGGCAAACCTCAGAGGGCATAAGGTCTCTGCAAGGCAGGGAGGAGGCAGGTGGCACTTGGACAAGCCTGGCAGGCTGATGATGCAGCCAGTGGAGTTAGGAATAGGAGTTTAGCCATCCCAGGGAACCAATCCTCAGGAAAGCCCTAGAGGTCAGTAAAGGAAGATTTATACACACTGTGGCTACAATCTAGAACAGGGAAGAGAGATGGCCTTCACTTGGGGATGAGGAGTGGGGTCTTCAGTTGATAAAGAAGACGATGCTACAGAAGTTGTTCCAGCAGAAAAGCACCATGCACAGAGTTGTGAGGTAATGGGGCCAATTAAGCTGGGGCAAAGAGAATTTCCAGGCACAGGAGGGAGACCAGTGAGGAAGAGGCGCTGCAGCAGTGGCGCTGAGAGGTGACAAGGGCCTGCAAGAGGGGGAGCAGGAGACTCGGGCTGAACAGCTGCTTGCACAGAGAGTTATCCACCCCTCAGCTGGCTCATGCCTCATCTCCCAAGATAAGCCTAGTTGTCCTAAGTGGGAAGAGCCAAAGCCGCAAGCAGCGAGGTGCCGGGTGACAGTAACTGGCAGACAGGTGGACATCCAGCTCTGGTATGCAGCAAAGAAGTTGCTGCTAGGATTCTGGAGCCATCACCGAGAAGCCTGAAGTGAACAAACATGGTGGGGGGAGGGCGAAGCACAGACCGCACAGAGATCCAGGGACCCGACTTGGGGCACACAAGGGAGCAGCAGCAGCAGAAATCATAAAAGGTAACAGAGTACAGTCAGGAGGGGAACTTCCTCCTCCCTCTGAGAAACCAGACTAGAAACAATTATCTCCCCCGCCTGGACCCAATCCCCAGGCTGAGTCACACTGTAGAAACCTCAGGAAGGCCCAAGGAAAAGAGTCTGTGTGGCCAGCCCTGGGGCAGAGGCCCGCAAGGTGAAGGGCAGTGTTAACAGATAGCACATGGAGTCTTGAACCCCACTCGGGTTTCTAGTAACTGAATCCATTGTTAAAACGACCAAAGGAAACCTTCTTCCTAAGTGAAACCTGGAAACTGTTGTTCTTTGGCAGTTTTGTCTGCTTGGCCCCAGAAGCACGGGTTGCTTAAATGCACAAGCAGTGTTTCGTGAGAACCTTGGGGAAAAAAAACCAAAAGGCATTTCTAGTATCACCAAATGGATACAGAGTCAGTCAAATGAGCTGTTTTGAAGTATCAAAGAGACCAGACAGGACCAGCTTCTATCAGTCTGCTCAAAGAGATGGGCCGCCGTCTGCTCCCTGAAGCACTGAACTCAGGCCAGCCGAGACCTGCTCCGGGCAGGTCGAGGTCAAGGTGGACATGCCCTGTGCTTCCCAGCACGAGCTGCTATATATTAGGACACTTCATGGGGCCTGCACGTGTCTCCCAGTTCAGCTCTCTGGGGGGAAAGCCCTGGGAACGTGCACCCTCATAGACCGGGGCTTCTATTCATGGAGTAATTATTTTGCATTCCGTTTTGCTCAGTGTCTGGGGAGAATTCACACATTGTGTTTCAGGAGCTCCCAATAACCTCTGTAGCGGTGACTGCTGAAACCTTTGTTACCATGAGGCAAAAGCAAGGGAATTAATTGATTAGCAAGAAAAATAAAGCATCTTCAGTCCGGATTCTGAGTTTGAGCTTTTCTTGTCAAGGTGATTGAAACCATGCTGCAGGGAGAGATGCCTGTACATAGCCATGAAAAATGCCCTGTGCCTTGCCCGCACATCCTGGGTGGTCCACCTGGACACCACTCCGCAGGCCTCCCCTCCCCTCCCCTCAGGGGGAAGCTGAGCCTGGCTCCTCTGTCCTGGCTCTCCCGCCTGCCCGTGCACCGTCTCTCTGTCCAGCTCAGCTCATCTGAGTGGTCCCTGAGGCACTGTATGGAACAAAGATGAGATCCTGTTAGAGACAGCCCCATATCCAATCACTTGCTGTCCATATGAGAAGAGACACAGAAACACACAGGAGGTTGATGGCACATAACAACAGAGGCTGAGACTGGAACTGTACCAAGGGCCAGAAGCTAAGACAACAGGCAAGGGCCAGATTGTCCCTCAAAGCCTCTAAAAGGGAACAGATCCTGCAGCCCCCTGCATTTCAGAGTTCCAGCCTGTGACTATTGAAACCTGGGAACTATTGTGAAGCATGGCGTACCATGACTTCAAGCCACTCATTTGTTGCTCCTCTGCTACGGCCGCCTTAGCATGCTCACACACTCCGGCTCGGCCGTGAGACAGCCTGAGCTCAAATCCGGCGGGGCACCCTCACGAGCCATACGTGCTGGGCCCTGGTCGTCACCTGCAAGTCTGCGTCTCCTCGTGCATCAGCTGGGAATGACAGCAGTGCCTCTTTCAGGAGTTCCAGGAGGACTAGGAGAGGATACACACAGAGCACTTAGCCTGCGCCTCCCACACCTCATAAGTGTTCAGGAGGTTGCATTAGGTTGAATCATGAAATTGCTGTTACTCAACTGTTTTGACCCAGAAAAAAAAGCAATGTCATGTACTTCAGCCTAACAGGGATGATGGGGAGTGGGGGTGGTGACAGTTAATGGCTCTGTTTTGTGTTTCTGACAACAACGCTATGAACCAGGCCAATTCGGACACTCCTCGGAGTCAGCATAGGCCCTACAGGTCAAGGGCCCAATCCCACAGGACTGCCCTCACTTTAAATGCCCACCTGCAAATGAGGTCTTCTGGCCCCTGGAACATCTGTCTGGCTGACTACAAACTCGGGGATTCCCACAACCCCCCACTCAGATTCAGTAATTTGCTAGAGTGACCCAGAACCGAGAAAAACACTGTCCTGAGCATTACAGTTTGTCATAAGAGAATGCCGATGAGCAACGGGGTGGAGGCAATGCACAGGGCAAGGTGCATGGGAAAGGCCTGGAGTTCTGGGCCCTCCTGGCACCTCACTGTCCTCACCAACATAAGCTCTGTAGACCGCTTCCTAACGAGCGTGTTTTGTTTTCTATTTTTATTTATTTATTTTGAAAGGCAGGGAGAAAGAGAGAGAACAAGAGATCTTCCAGCTGCTGGTTCACCAGCTACAGCCCGGGCTGGGCCAGGCTGAAGCTAGGAACTTTATCTGGGTCTCCCATGTGGGTGACAGGCCCAAGCACATGAGCCATCAACTGCTGCCTCCCAGAGTGTGCATTAGCAGGAAGCCGATATTGGAAGCAGAGCCAGGACTGAACTCTAGGCCCTCCAATATGAGATGCGGGTACCCCCAAGCTGCATTAGAACCGCTGAGCCAAAAGCC